AAAAAAAAAAAAAAAGAAACCTGACGTTTAAATGGACACACACAGGTACTCAAGTCCATAGTACACAGAACTGTGTTCAACAGAATGCTATCAAATGATATCATATAGGTAGGATCAAATATTTAGAGCTCGTCTATGTCTTACAAGTGATGTTCTTCAAGCCTGAAAGTGCATCTTTGAAAGTAATGGACTACATTACTATGGTGACATAGTCAAGATTATTGGAGCACATGTGTTAGCTTTCTATTTTAGTATCTAAATAACTGAGATGATGAACTTAGGAAGAGAAGAGCTTGTTTGGCTCACTGGACAGTTCAGTGAGCGGTCGGGTGGATCCATCGCTTTGGGCCCAAGGAGGGCGCTGCCTGGTAACGGCGGCAGCATGTGTGTGGTAGAATAGACTCACCTTATCACCCAAGAAGCAACGGGCATAGGAGGTAGGATCTGGGGTTTAACTTTCTCCTCACAGAGCTCCATCTCCTTAAGTTTCCACTACCTCCTGGTAGTGCTACCCTGAGAGACAAAAACTTAATACACAGGTCCTTGTGGTCCTGGAAATGGGGGAGTACATCCAAGGTCCAATCATAGCTCCTGGTATAATATTCTTTTTCACTATAGTATTCTGTCTTTTCTAGAGTTGAAATGAAATTAGATGGGTAAACACATTGGATTAACTGTAGATCTTTGTAAAGCTAAAATTCAAATTAAGGTAGTAAACATAAGCAAATATTTCAAATATATTTATATTTTTTATGCTAAAAACAGGGTGATCAAAAATTGATTTATGCACCCAGTTTCATTGGTCTTAGATTTGTCAGTCCTGTTACTAAATGAGATAATGTTTATTTCAATACAGATTTATTTGACATTCTTATGCTAAGTGTGCTTACCCAGTAAACTTGTACTCATTTGCAACTTGGGAACAAAGCTTTATTCCATGTGCACGTTAACATAATGTATTTATTAATGCCTGTTTCCTCGTAATGTTCATGAAGTTATATTCATAATAACATTTTATCTTTTTTTAGAAATTGAGTTACCTATGATTACTTATTAAAAACATGTTCATGATAGCTTAAAAATTGGAAGAAATCTCTTTAGCAGTATAATTATTATTTGTTTGCTTATTTGTTGGGTTTTTTGTGTGTGTGTATTTTAGGAAAGGATCTACAGGGTGTTCAGGGTCTCACTACTAGAGTGGCGGCCTCCTAGTGATTCTCCTGTTCACAGCCTCCCAAGAGCTGGGATTACAGGCATGCGCCATGCCCAGTCTCAGTTGCCTTCTTAGTGAGCCCCAGGGGCGGGGCTGGCACAGCAGGCCAGGAGATTGAACCCCTGGCCCCTGTGCCTGCTGAGCTATTGGGCTGGCCTCTATTTGGTTTTTTTGAGACAGAGTCTTGCCATGTAGTCCAGGCTTGGCTTGAACGCCCTGTGTGTGGTCTCAAGACTCATTTCTCAGCAGCTTTTTTTTTTTGTATTTAGTACAGGGTCTCACTATACAGATCGGACTTGGAGTGATTCTCTTGTTTTTCAGCCTCCCAGTCACTGAGATTACAGGTATAGGGTGTCTGCCACCATGCCCAGCCTCATTCACTGTCTCAGTGTGCCCCAGGGGCGGGGCTGGCAGGCAGGGCAGGGATTGAATCCCTAGCCCTGGAGTCTGCCTAAGCAGTGCTTTAATCCACTGAGCTGTCAGGCGGGCCCTTACTGCACTTCTAACTAGACTTAGTCTGTATTCTTTCTAGAAATACTAAGCCACTGCTCCTCCTAAAATTAAATTGTACTGTTCAGCTATACTTTGTGTTTGTATAAATTCTTAAATAGCTTAGCAATGGGATGGGTTAAAATTAATTGGAAACTTTAAAATTATTTTGTTTCATTATAAATAATAAACATATTTAACAGTCAAAAAACAAAACAAAACAGAAAAATGGGGTGGGGATCTCCATTATTGCTTTTTGAGGTTTTTTGACAGGAGAGTCAAAGGGAAGAATTATTCTTCTTTTCATTATTTTTTCTGTACATTGAATTTCATGATCATTCAGTTCCTAAGGTCAGCTCTTGATGTTTTGGCATTTGGTTGCTCATAAGTCTAAATTGCCAATGTGTGGAGCTGGAATTACTTACTGCCTTGTTGGACTTGAGGTAGCTCTGGTGCCTGAAACAGAGCTTGATGTATCTATGCTAAAATGGGATGTCTGAGTTAGTGATGAAGGGATTATGTTCATTTTATACATTGATCACAGTGTCATATAAGTGGAAGGATGTGTGTGTGCACGCGTGCATGCATCCATGTGTGCATAGTCCGTGAAATGGCACTCTGTGTGTACATTGTTTTTAACTTTCTAGTAGCCTGGTCTGTA